CACTTCTTTCTGCTGCAGGCATTAGAGTTGAACCCTTTGTGTCTCTCTGGCAAGATGTTCTGCTCCTGAATCAGCTGGGTGGGTCTTGCCTCTAGTCTCTTTGCAGGGAGTTCTGCTGCAAGGTTCCCTGCTGGGCCTGCAGCCTGTGTTGAATGAGGATCTAGTGGGCCCTCGGTCGTCTCACTCACTCTCTGGGCCTGAGCTCTGAGTCTATTCAGGATCCCATGGCCTCGGTCATCTCACTCACTCGCGGGGCCTGCGCTCTGGGTCTGTTCAGGATCCTGCCCGTCCCCGGGTCGTCTCACTCACTCTCCGGGCCTGCGCTCTGGGTCTATTCAGGATCCTGCCTGTCCCCGGGTCGTCTCACTCACTCTCCGGGCCTGCGCTCTGGGTCTGTTGTAATTTCTTATGCTAAGCATCCTGTAGAGCAGATACTGTTTACCCTTGTGATCTTGTGGCTAGCTGCGAGCTGGCTCAGTCCCATCACTCTGTCTCATAAGAGTGTCTTACTACATATTTCACACTCAGTTCAAAGTTCAATAGTTGAAATATAATTTCTTCTGGATGTATGTCGCTTTCACAACATCATAAAGCTGAAAAATCCTACAACCATTGTAAGTCAGGGGCCATCTGTAAAGGGGCCGTGATAAAGCTTATCAACTAGACACATTAAGAAATGAACAGTAAAAAAAAAAGAAAGAAAAAAAAGAAATGAACAGTAACTGGGTGAGCTGGAGAGATGGCTCAGTAGAATAAGCACTTCTCTGGCAAGTGCAAGGGTCTGAGTTCAATCCCAGTTCCAGAAAGAAAGAAAGAGAGAAAGAAAGAGAGAGAGAGAGAGAGAGAGAGAGAGAGAGAGAGAGAGAGAGAGAAAGAAAGAAGAAAGAAAGGAAGGAAGGAAGGAACAGTAGCTAATAATGAAATATAGCAATGGTAATCATACTTTAGTAAGTTACATCAGGTGGTTGGCCATGTAACTGAGACAGCCACTGAGTGACCATCTGGCGGGTAGTATGCACATTGTAAAAAAGATGGACAAAGAGGTGGTTCATATTCTGGACCAGACAAAGCAACATAAGGCTTCACTTTGCTACCATGCAGTGTGGTATAAGATTTAAAGCTTATAATTGTATCTAGATTATTGTCACATAACTTTCCTGGACTGCTGGGCATGGTGGCACATGTAATCTCAGCAGTCAGGAGGCTGAGGCAGGAGGATTGTTGTGAGTTCAAGACCAGCCAGGGCTGCAAAGTGAGCTCAACATTAGCCTGAATGCATAGCAAGACATGCATAGCATGTCTCAAAAAGACCAAAAAACATTTTTTTTTCTGGACTGTGGTTATCTCCAGGCAACTAAACCAAAAAAAAAAAAAAAAAAAAAACGAAGACGTCATTATTTTTTGTCTGTTATTACTACAGATATCTAGTAGCATACCATT